GGATGGCGCAGGGATGGGACTGCTTTCGACCCCCGTGTGATAACGTCCATAGTGTCAATCTCGCCCCGTTATTTGTCCTCCTCCCCTACTACACCCATATAGATTCCTTAGTAGTGTTTTTTATACTAATTTACTTATAAATCGTAATTCCCATACACCACTGAATGCAATGGTAACACTTGTGACACAAATAACTAGCCAAGTTAAAATTATACCTTTCAATTACGATATCGTTCGCACAGATTATATGTGTTTACATAGACATAGTGTCACAGGGTTAAAGTGAAAATTTGGTAAAATGTGATGTTTTAAAAGATTTTAAATAAATAAATAAATAAATAAATAAATAAATGTAAAAATTACAAAAATACATTTTGAAATTATTATTTTTTAAATTGGGGGCCCTCCTTTCTCCTCCCATGGAGGAGCCTCAGCCCACTCACCCCATCTCTTGAGCATTTTAAAGGGAGGCAGGTGAATGCCACAGGCCATTTTCTGCGAAAAAGCAAATGTTTGAGAAACAGTGGAGTCACCTTCCCTTAAGATGTCACCTGGTGCGGTCCAAACCCCTGGCCCACCCTAGTGATGCCACTGGTCCCCCCTAATGAATTAGAATCATAGAATCATAGAGTTGGAAGAGACCCCCAAGGGCCATCCAGTCCAACCCCATTCTGCCATGCAGGAACTCCCAATCAAAGCATCCCCAACAGATGGCCGTCCAGCCTCTGTTTAAAAACCTCCAAAGAAGAACTCTCCGAGAGAGTGTCTTCCACTATCAAACAGCCCTTACTCTCAGGACGTTCCTCCTAATGTTGAGGTGGAATCTCTTTTCCTGGAGCTTGCATCCATTGTTTCGGGTCCTAGTCTCTGGAGCAGCAGAAAACAAGCTTGCTCCATCCTCAATGTGACACCCCTTCAAATACTTAAACAGGGCTATCGTATCACCTCTTAATCCTCTCTTCTCCAGGCTAAACGTACCCACCTCCCTAAGTCTCTCCTCATAAGATGGCATGGTTTCCAGACCCTTCACCATTTTGGTCATCGTTCTCTGGACAAGTTCCAGTTTTTTAAATTGTCCTTTGTGAATTGTGGTGCCCAGAACTGGACACAGTATTATTCCAGGTGAGGCCTGACCAAAGCAGAATACAGTGGCACTATGACATCCCTTGATCTAGACACTATACTTCTATTAACGTAGCCTAGAATCGCCTTGGCCTTTTTAGCTGCAGCACCACACTGTTGACTCATGTTCAACTTGTGGTCTACTAGGACTCCTAGATCCCTTTCACACGTAGTTGCATTAAGCCAGGTGTCCCCCATCCTATATCTGTGCATTTCATTTTTCCGCCCTAAATGCAAAACTTTACATTTCTCTGTGTTGAAATTCATTTTGATAGCTTTTGACCCAGCTTTCTAATCTATTAAGGTCATTTTGAATTTTGATCCTGTCCTCTGGGGTATTAATTGGCCGGAAACTACTTTTGTCCTGTGTACTCAGTTTGCAGCAATGGAAGTAAGCTGAGGACAAAGGGGGGAAAGCTAAAAGAGAGAGAAACTGGGACGTTTTGGGAGGCTGAGGATTAATTGGGACTGTCCCTGACAAATTGGGAAAGTATGATATATACTGGATGCTAAAGAACCTGGGCATTCTGGGCTTGCAGCGTTACAGTCAAGAAGGTTATTCAGCCACGAAATAGGAGGCGTTTGTGCCATAAGTCTTGCAAAATCACAATGAACCCATTTTGTCTTGTGCCCGGTCTGGAACTTGCGTACTCAGCAGACCTGGTGCTTTTTGGGCCAATGTAGCTGGACCGTAGGATTGGATTTCGGGGGCAGAGATTGAAAGAGAGAGGCTAGATGGAAGCCTAACCCACGCTGGCATGACTGTGTGGGCTCAGCAGACCCAGCAGACACAAAGTGCGGCTTGTTGTCCTCCATTTCCTTACTTATTTA